AAGAGGGTTTTTGAGATCATTGACTTTTATCGGGAGGTGGATTTTATTGGGGGATTGATTTTTTTCTAATTATTAATTGAAAAGAAATTTATTTTGAAATGTGCTATAAACATTTGAAATTTCTTTGAAATGATAAATTCTAGAATTATACAACATATAAAATTAACAAATTTGATGCTGGAAAAAAGCAAACACATATTTAAACATGGATTTGGAACTTTCAAAAAAAAAAAAAAACAGATTTTTTTTTTTTTAACTTTTAGGGTTATACAAATCTAATATAGTCGAATGATGACCAATTCAATTTCATGGCCACGAATATTAAATATGTATGCCTTTATATAAAAATTAAGTATTTGTGTTTATTTTCCAGATTTTGTTTATAGAATTTCTATTTATTTAATAAATTTATTAAATGTAAGAAAATAAATTAATTTTACTAGCTTGATTAATTTCACATTTTAAAGTTGTGTCTATTTGATCCTTATATTTTCAAAGAAATTCAATAGGACTTGAAGTTTCAATTTTGTATTTAAATAGGCTATTGTTGTAAAATTTTGTCGGTTTAACACTTATATTACATGTATGGACAATATGAACATAGTTCAACTGGTTAACATATATATCTCGGATCAAAAGATTATGATTCGAATCCTCACTTCTCACACGTTGTTGAACTTATAAAAAAAAAAACATGTTAACTGTATTATTATCTAGGGCGGAAATTTTTCATGAGAAATTTAAAGAAATTATTAAAGAAAAAGGACTAAGTTGCCACAACTGTAAAAATTTAGGAAGTTATGAAAAGCTAATTTATAAAATACAATAACTTATTAAAAACTTTTAAAATTAAAAAAATTAAATATATAGCTACACAAAAGTTTAAAACATCACAACATCGAGTCTATTTTTCTCTTTCTTTAAAAATAAATTTAAATATGATTTTGTTATGTTCTCAGTAAACTTAATGTTATTTTAGTCTCTTTTAAAACGTCTATTTTAATGGTAGTTTTTTAAAAAGAACTATTTCCTTGGTTGTATATATATTTCTAACACAAATTATATAAATAAATATAAAGTCTAAAAAGAATATTTTGAAAGTATAAAGACGAAAAATGATGGGTTTAATTTTGATTTCGGTGTCTTTTCTTTTCTTTTGATCAGTGTGATTGGATGGATGGACGGTTTTATCGTTATTCACCCAATTCTACAAAGCCAAAGCAACCACCGCATGCAATTGAAAATACGCGTAATAATTAAAATTAAAAAAAAAAAGGAAGAATCCATAAACCCAAATTCAAAAAAGAAAAAAATTAAAGTAGAAACAAAATGAATGTGGATGCCTAAAG